TAGGAATCACATAGGGGAAAAGTTGGTTTCGGCAATACCTTAACCTATTATCGTCAGGGGGGTAAACAACGTCCTTGAGAGCTCAATTTTGGCATGTGGATACATTGTGTTTCAGAGCAACAATTGGCCAAATTTGAGTGCTCTAGGACTTTGTTTACCCCCTGACGATAATAGTTTAAGGTATTGCCGAAGCCAACTTTTCCCCTAGATGAAGACTAATCAACTCATTTTTTCCTTGTTTCAAGATCATCCTCGGTGGACAAAGTCGAGTCTTGTCACTATCAACAAGGCATAAAAAGTAACAAGGACTAAGATGTGTTCCTTGGATTACTGAGAAATCCTGTTCCCCTAGCTTGAAGTAGTCAGGACTAGGAATCGGTGGTAGATCTTACATCCAGTAACGTACCCACGTTACGGAAAGGGTTGGGGGGTAAGACCCTAGATAGGTCAACTTAGCGGTTGGCACAGTCTGTACACTGAACAATTACAATTACAATTACAAAACCTATTTTGATTGTGCATATCTGAAGAAATCTCCGAATTTTTCAAATGATGCCGAACATCACAATTGAATGACGATTCATGTAAGACCTATTTTGATTGATGAGTGGGCGCGTCTTTGGAAAGGTCCTTGAACGCTTCGAATATTGCGAAACATCACTATTGAATTAGGCTTCCTGTGAGAAGAACAAGTATGTATGAATTAACTGTATCGAAAACGAAAACCTCATTACGTGTTCATGCACTAACCAAAGGACACGGACATATCACAAAAGATAAATGTTTTGATCGCAGTGATTATGACCCGAACAGAGGGAGAAAAAAAGCTTGAACAATAGACTGGGTCTAGTTTATATGGTGGATCACAACCCCCTGTTCCGCACTGCTCTTCCGATGTGTATTGATCTGGATTTGACACGAAACGAACCTATCCATTTTCATGCCAAAAATTCAAGTATTGCAAAAATTTCACCAAATATCGGAAATAGACTGGGAATACTATGCAGAATAACTTTGTCAAAGACTGTAAATCGATTAGACTTCTGAGCAGTCTTGTAAGCGGTCACGGTAGTCGACACATTTTCTGTGATAATCGACTGCTTTTGCCTCCGACACTTGGAAAACAAGCTATCATAGTACAGTACCAAACTCAAATGTCATACGACAGGCTCTGTCATATGACACTGTCGCCGAAGAACGTCACGAATGTATGTATTTTAGTTTTTCTCATAATAAGAGCTGCTGATGTTGTGGTTGTGTGAATTCTGAAAATAGCAAGCAATGATGTCCTAGGAATAACATTTCTGATCAGAAATGGTTTAATTTACACCAAATTGAGGAATTAGAACGAAATTACTCATGTCATATGATAGTTATTTGATAATTTTCTTTTCTCTCGAATGTTATTCTACCGGTTGTGTTGTGTGAGAGAGACGACGGTAGAGCATGAGTGAAGGAATAAAAACAGACTGTCGCGCACGACAACGATGCGAGTGTAGTAAAAAACGTCAACAGTTTCAACCCCTGCTTCTGAGAAAAAAAGTTTACTTAACAATTATATTAACTTAGACCTAGTCTGCTCATAACCGCAAGTCAGTCCTATCTGTAAAAAACTGGAAATGAGAAAACGGCGTTCAAAGATTTTAAAAATTTTCTAATTTTACACTTATTTTGGAGGCTTAATTTTTAAAATAAACGTGCGATGTGATAGAATGCATCTATGTTTATTAAAAAATATTGGATACGATATTGTGAAATTTTTATTTTATTACCAAAATCTGAGTGGGACTGACTTGCGATCAGTGTTGGGAAAATATCAAAAAATCAAATCTCACCATTGTGCATCACGCTTGATTTTCGTAGAAAAAAATCAACAAGCAAACAACTGCGGTTGATTTTACAAGCTGTGAAATCGCAGCTCGGAATATCATGCTAACAAAACTCACCAGCTGCAAATCTCTCCAAACTACTTACAGGTAAGATTGAATTTCATGATTTTTGCTTTACACCCGAACGCTACCGAAACTTCCATAACGGCTGGCAGTCGCTTCGTGTCTGCCATCGGAGAAGAAAAAAAACGGATAGCATTATTATACCTTCTCTTTCTAAGAAAACGAGGCGCAACGGAATCATGTTTGTGTCGATTCAACTCTCACCTTGAACATTACACGTTGTGAATAGTCTCGCAATATGAAAGGAGCTTGTAAAGTCAATCCAATATCACACGCTTGATATTGAGAGCGTATGAGAGCGGAAAAATAAAGGGTGTCCTACATCAAATTGCATCACGGAAAAAACGCTGTAGAAAATTACTTAGTTGACCGATCATTTTCAAACTTTCAGACAATAAAATATAACCCATTAGTAAGCTTTTGGCATATTTTTTCATTTATCTTCAATACCATAACCGTACGCTCGCACTTTACGCTTAACTCCACTCATTAGGTTCTGTACAACATCTGGCTGCAGCTTCTTCTGTACGGAAACCCACTTTTTCTTCATGTCTTCTTCAGATTTGACCTCCTTGGGATGCTTCCGTAGTGCCTGCGTCATAATAGCCCAGTATTTTTCTATGGACCTTAGTTCCGGTGCGTTGGGGGGCAGTGCTGATAAAAATCCTTTCTTCTACACTCAATTTAGCTGAATATGAAGAAAACCTTAACAGATAGACCAACTATCTGCATGAATTTGAATTTTGATATAAACAAATTCCCTTGATCTAGGCAACCTCTGAGTATCAAAAATAACATTTGTTTTTCTTCATTCGTGGCTGGATTCTCATTATCGCCTCTGTTGTTGTAAATATTGATATTCGTCTTCATCTTGGTCGGGATGATATTGAGGATCAAATGCAAAATGATTATTTTCATTTTAAACAAATATAGCGCTGAAGAACGTGGTTTTTAGACATAAGTCGACGACAAATTATTGCCTCAAGCTGAACTGATGATAATATCGATGTTTAAGGCAGTGTGGTCAACAATATTCAAAATAATCATTTTGCCCAAAATGTCGTTGATTATTTTGCTTTTGAGGATCACTTCTGATTTTGACAATTTTGGGTTTGATAATCGAGCACTGGTGAATATCAACAAACGCGTATTCGTTGATGTATAATAAACTCATTTGTTCATTTCGCTCGTTTCGTAACTACGAAGATGTTCAAAACAAACGCAATTCATCGAAACTGGGTTGAAGCACTACTCCTTGCGTGTGATGGTAAATGATAAAAACAGACACTGTTGGGGGGTTCATGTCCTTGGGTACGAAAGTGACCCCTTTGGCTTCGTATCACTCCAGGACAACATTTGAATAGTGGCACAAAGCTAGATCCGGCCAGAGGATCGTAGGGCCCTCGTGTTGCTTCAACAGAGGAAGCAGACGCTTCTGTAGACACTCCTTGAGGTAGATCTCCCCGTTTACAGGGACGGTAGTCACGAACGGCGCACGCCGTTTGCCACATGAGCAGATCGCTTGCCAAATCATGTATTTCTTAACAAACTTTGAAAGTTTCTGCTTCCTTACTTCCTCCGGAACATCAAACTTGTGCTGGGTGGTGAAAAACAGTAGCCCCGGAAGCTGCCGATAGTCCGCCTTGGCGTAAGTCTCATCATTCATGATGATACAATGAGGTTTCGTCAGCATCTGGGTGTACAGTTTCCGGGCCCATGACTTTCACACCGTATTTTGCCGTTCGTCACGATTTGGAGCCTTCTGCACTTTGTACGTATGCAGTCCCTCCCGTACTTGGCTTTCTGAACGAAAGACTTGGACAGATTCAACTTTTTGGCCACATCCCTGACCGAAGCATTGGGATTCCGCTTAATCACTTTCACGACCCGCTTCTGATCCTGATCACTAATAGAACATCCATTCTGATCGCATTTCTCCTTCCGTTCGATGCTCACAGTTTCGTAGTAACGTTTAATCACACGACTGAACGTTTACTGCACGATTCCGAGTTGTTTTCCGATGTCCCGATGAGAAAGTTGAGGATTTTCCAGGTGCTTGCGCAAAATCAATTCGGGACGTTGCTTTTCGGGTGATGCAATTTGAAGTGGGACACCCTTTATCAATTTGCTAATGATTATGCCATCACTGCTTGCGATTACATTTAACGTCAATGAGAAAAATAACCGCAAGTCAGTCACAATGTCATGACGATGCTCCACTAGTTTAGCACAGTGTGGAACAGTAGAAAGATACCATGGTCCCATTGAACGTTATTGAATGTTTTTGACATCGTTCCGTTGGTTCCGGAGCAATGGCCTCAACATATTCCGGCGAGTATGCTGCATGTAATCGCATATCAGTCCCATATGGATTATCGTCAATTTGAAGATAACAACGTTATCCAATATCAATTGACATCTGTTTTCATATTGCGTGATAAAACTACGGACTTTGATAATGAAAAATTTGAAAACAACATCAAGTCAGCTTGTCCCATTAAGCAAAGTAATCGCATATCAGTCTTATCCTGAAATACGATCGTCCAGAGGTCAAGTTTTCGCTGATAAAGTCTGATTCACTCAGATTCCGGATACTTTATTTATTCTATAGCCGTGCTCGAATGGTCGAATTTGGTATGTTTTGTCATCGATTTGTTTTGAATTCAGTGGGGAAAGTTTCGTCTCGATACGTGCAGTATTAACAAAGTTGTACGCCGATAAAGACACCCGGAAACTGATGATCTGGCAAGCAATTTCCACAAAAACTCTTCCTATCCAAGCTCATCTTCTTAGCCATCAGGTATTCGTTCTTCCACTAAGGCTCTGATTTGACTGAATGTAGTTCGTCTCCCGATCAAGTTGGTTGATGAAGTCACCCTTTTAAACGGGATGGTAAAAGTTCCGAAGTTGACAGTACATTGCTTAATCAACAATGACTAGATGCTAGACTTGTTAAGGCATCCATCGTCTTTTCAAACTCGTGCAGCTAATTATTGACCATTACCACCAACAACCACAAATAGTCATAAGATATCATCCAATACTCACGATAGTAGCTCGTATTCTTCGCCCACTTGTTCTCCGTTCCGGGAATCTTGCTGCGCTGCAGGAACCGCTCGATCAAATTAAGCGTCAGCAGGCTCTGGCTGAACACCAACATCCGATCGCCCAGCTTGATGCTCTCCTCGAGGATGTAGAAAAAGATCTCCATCTTCGACGAGCTCTCCAGCAGATCCGGGACGTATCCCTTCATCAGCTCGAATGCCCACTCGTACGGAATTTCGTCCTTATCCTTGGTCTTACCATCCTTAGCACCACCAGTAACTTCCTTCGGTTCCTTCGCCTTCAACTCATCCTCAATCTTGAGCAGTTCTTCTTTAAGCTTGTCCTCGTCGATTTCTTGCTTCACTTTACTGGGTTTCTTTTCTTCGCCTTCTTCCTTCTTCTCAACCAGCACTTTTTCTTCAATTTCCTTTTTCACTTCTTCGTCTGATGGTTCCATCTTCACAACCTCTTCCTGTTTAGTTTCTTCTTTCACTTCCACCTTCACCTCAACTGCCTTCTCTTCTCCATTTTCTACAATCCCTTTCATTTCTTCCACTTCATCCTTCACTTCGCTTTTGATTTCCTGTTTTATCTCTACCATCGGTGGGGGTTTTACATCTTCCTCGACCTTAGTGATGATCTTGGTGTCCATGTCGACAATTTCCGAGGGCTTTTCCTCTTTCACCTCCAGCACCAACGGTTTGACTGGATCCTTCAGGTCTTCTAGCGACGGTTGATCCGCATACTGGGCATTCGCTTGCTGCTGCGTGATTGCTGGATCCATCGGTTGTGGCGGTGCTGCTGCCGTCATCGGATCTTGTGTACTGTTAGTCGGATAGCCGACGGCAGCTTGGGTCGGATCAACGACTGGTGGAGGTGGTGCCGTAGTCTGATTCGGATCCCACTTTTGCTCGTACTGATTGTTGTACTGCTGTTGTTGCTGCTGATCTGGATAGCCGCCGTACTGGTTGCTATTGCCATAATAGCCATTGTTGTAGGAGTTGTTCTGCGATGGTGGTGGTTGTTGCTGTTGGGGTTGTTGCTGCTGCTGCTGTTGTTGTTGTTGTTGTTGTTGTTGATAGTAGTTGTTGTTGCCCCAGTAGTTGTTCTGATAGTTGTTACCGTTTCCGTAGTTATTTTGATAGTTTTGGTCATATCCGTAACCGTAGCCTTGGTTGTAGTTGTAGTCGTTACGCCCGTAGTAGTTGTTACCGTAGTTGCCGTTGTTGTACGGGTCATTAGATCCATACTGGTTGTTGTAGTTGTTGTAGCCGTTCGGTTCCTGATTATAACTACCCTGGTTGTAATTGTAAGGGGCCCCTGGAGGGGGTGCTTGTTGCTGGTAGCCTTGGCTTTGATATCCCGGATATACCCCCTGTTGTTGTTGCTGTTGTTGAGGAGCCGGTGGTACCTGCTGAGAATAGCTATCGTCTGTAGGATACTCTTGTTTGACGACTGTTGGATCAACGGGGATTACAGCAGGAATTTGTGGCGGGATTTCCGCTGGGGCTGGATCCTTGTTCAATGTGCTTGGACTAACGGTAGCAGCGGGAACCATTTTTCCATCCTTACCGACAGCTTGTTGACTCTTGAGAGCCTGCTGTTGCTTCTTGGTTGTCCTTGGCTTGCGAGGAGTTCCATCCTTCTTAAGAGCCAGCGGTTTGGGAGGCTTGGGAGCAGCGGGCTTCTTACCAGGTTTCTTCTTTTCCTTTTCCACCTTTTTTTCTTCCACTGGAGGAGTAGGAGTAGGAGTAGGAGCAGGAACAGGAGGAGGAGGAGGAGGCGGAGGTGGTGCTGGTAGCTCTGGTGGAGGAGACACTAACGGGTTTTCAGTTTTGATTATTGGAGCCGGTTCAGCTTCTTCGATTTCCAGATCCAAGTCACGCTCGCTTTGCTTCAGGAAATTGTACAACACATCCGGATGGTTCCAAATTTTGCAGCAAACGGCGAACGCCTTCAAAGGATTTGGAACGGCCTTGGTCCGGACAACTTCGTTCATAAAAACCGTGTACAACTTTCGTTGGAATTCCGTCATGCGTATTAGGAGTACGAATTCTTCTTTCTGTGGTAGCGATGTTTGTAGAACTGCGTGGGACCGTCTCTGAACGAAACCCAGCAGTAAAGAGTGCAGAACGTGAGCTCTGTAACGCATCAGCTTTATATCCTGCGGGGTAGAGTCTATACACTGACCGTTTTGGATGGGTCGTTCAAACATGTTGCTAAACTCGGTCTTCGTTCCCAGGTAATTGGGTCGGACAAAATCCACCATGCACCAGTACTCCAGTAGATTGTTCTGCAACGGATATCCGGTTAGAACTACTCTCCGTTTGGACTTGATTTGCTTCAGAGCAACCGAAATACCCGCATGGGAATTCTTAATCCTATGGCCTTCATCGCAAACCACCAGATCCGGACCAGGTTTGACCAACGCTTCATGGATTTCATCGAACATATTCTTCTGATCTTCCGTAGACTCTTTCTCCTGCTCTACGACAGCCGGTTCGTTCTTCTTTTTCTTTTTCTTTTTTGTCATCTTCTTCTGACTCAACAGCCGATACATCTCGTAGCCAATCAGCAAAACTCCCCCGATCTTAGCCCACTCCAAGACGACCTTCGCCCTTGACTTGAGCGTCTTGTGGCTATCGTTCAGTATGAAGATCTTAAAGTTCCTAGGGCGCACTTCGCCGTGATTTTTCAAAGGGGTATTTTCCGGGTCCGCCGGCAGCCAGGTGTTGAACTCGTTCAACCAGTTCTGCAGCGTATTGATTGGCATTATAATCAGCACCGTCTTCGAGCTGGTATGCCTTAAAAATATATCACAGAAGCAAACCAGCTGCAGTGTCTTCCCTAAGCCCATCGAGTGGGCCAAGATGCAGCCGAATCCTGTGCTCGTGTCGTACCGCTCAATCGACTCGATTATGTTATCAAACAAGAATCGCACACCCCCGATCTGATGCGGTTTGATGATTCGGGAAATCTGCGGTGCCAGAAATATGTCCTCTTCGCTTTCGGTGTGACCGACGTTGATTATTACGCGTCCCTTATCATCCGGAACGTTGTAGGTATCGTTCACGTGCATTCCACTGTTTTGCGGATCATCGTCCGAGTCATCCTCCGGTTCTTCGTCGTCATCGGACAGCACAATGCAATCATCGTCCGAGGAGCTATCAATCGTGACCACTTCTTTCTTCTCCGGAGTCGGTATGAACTCCGCTTCGCTGTCCTCATCCTCATCATCCTCATCATCTAGATCCTCGTCGCTATCCATCACATCATCGAACGGCCTCATCGGGATCGACGGCATAAGACCTGCTAGTGATGCAGATGATGCTCCGACTGCTGTCGCTCCCGAAGCCTTTACCGGTGCAATACTCACCGAAGGAGTCAAATTGGCCTGTATCGGACGGGCCTTCGGCGGGCGTCCTCTCGTTTCGAACGGATTCTTTACGTAACCCACCTTCACCGGCGTCGATGTTCCCGGTTGCTGCGTCTTCAGAATTGAAGCATGGCCCTGCAGAAACTGCATCACTTTCTGCTCCGTCTTGTTCGTCTGCCGTTCCAATGCCAGCTGCCGCTGAACCTCCCGTATGATCCGCTGCTGTTCTTGTACCCTAGCTAAACGTTCCAACTCCTGCCGCTGGGCAGCCAGTGTCGACGCATCCAGCTGATTATCATCCATCACCTCTTTGATGTTCTTCCGCATATTGGTGACCTTCCTCATCGCGGCGTCCTTCTTGGTGATTTCCAGCGAAATCTCCTCCGTACATTCCAGCTCTTTCGCCTTACTAGCGTTCGATGCGTCCGATTTGGACACCGGTTTGACGCTGATCTCGCCCATTTCCTTCAGCTTCTCGGAAATGTCAAAATCCATTTGCTGTTGTGGTGGTGGTGGTGGTGGTGGCGGCGGAGACCGTGGCGACGGCGGTAGTGGCGGCAATGGTGGAGTTGTCGATGTGGCTGGTTCGTCTTCTTCCGTGTTCGGCGGAAGCGCTAGTGGATCATTTTTATCCGCTTCCTTTTCGATTATCGGTTCTTCCTTGCTCTCCTCGGATGGTTGCTTCTCCTCGGGTGGAGAAGCCGAGTCCTGCTGTTCGACCGGGACAGTTTCCGCTTCGGGAGTTGGTTCCTCAACCGATGGGGGTGGTTCCACTTTCGGTTTATCTTCCAAAATGTTAGAAATTTGAAAGGACGATTTACTGGAGTCGGTATTAACACTGGGTGGTGCCGGCGGTGGCGGAGGTGGTGATGGTGTTGGCGGCGCTGGCAATGGTGTTGGTTGAACCGGCCCGGTGGCCGTTTCTGTCACCGGAAGCGGATAGGTTTCACGCTTTTCTGCCTCCAGTTCCTGCTTGGACTTTTTGATCAATACATTGTCCAGAATTTCGATCTTGCGCTTGGGAGGAATTCCGGACGCGACACTGTCGGTGACGTCATGTCCTGCGGATGAAATCGTAGGACCGATGAGCATGTTTTTGTCGTCCCGAATCGGTGTGATCGGTTCCGGTTTGCTAGTACCTGGCGGTTTCTCCGGCGACTTTTGAGCAGCTATTGCCGGAGGAACTGCTGGGATAGGAATCGTTGTGTTTTGGCTGTGGCCGGGAAATCCCGGATAGGAGGAAGCTGGTGGACCTCCGGGTGGCATCATCCCCGCAGTATGGGGGTAACCTGATGGTGCTTGATGGTGGTACGAGTGACTCCCATAGGGAGCCTGATGGTGGTAGGGATGTTGATATGAGTGGTATGGACCATGCATGGAATACGGATCGTAGTGCCGGGCTGCCGCGGCATGATGGTAGTATGGATCCTTGCCGTGGTGGTCCATCATCGCTGGCGGTGGCGGTGCACCGTAACCGTAGTGTTGATAACCGGATGGATGCATCGGAGGCATCCCTGGGGAGGCCGAAGGAGGCCCAACTCCGCCATTGCCATCCGGTTTTATATCACCAGCCCCGGGGATGGGTGGCGGATGATTGCCATTGGCACCTTCCATTGTTGGAATGCAGCTGCTGACTATTGTACTGCAGAATACATCCTAGACGGTAGGTTGAAAATCTGCAAATAGAACGAAAGAGAAAACACGATTAAAATTGTGTTTCAACTGAAAACGCTGTGGTAATTTTGGCTCCGGATTTAATTTGACTGGGATATACTTTTCCCCATCCTTCTCATGTATCTATGTGTACACAAGGACGTAAGCAGTAGATAGTGCAAGGGGGCGTTTTTTGCCGATAGTGGCGTGGCATTGCATACTTTCGGGCGTTAATCAGAGAGCTCGATGGAAACGGTACCGAAATATGAGAATCGTAAATTACTACGGGATTTAAGGTGATACTCTAAGGTAGCCTTAGCGTGAAATTTTAAAGGCACAAATGTCAGCTTCCACAAAACATACAAATTTGAAATTGCTACTCCTTGTTTGCTGTGCTACTACAAACAGAGAGTAGCAATTTTAAATTTGTATGTTTTGTGGAAGCTGACATTTGTGCCTTTTATGTTTCACGCTAAGGCTTCCTTAGAGTATCACCTTAAGGCGCAATTTACTTTGATGCAATTTCGAAAAATTCAAAAGTAGCTTTTTTCGATTCATCATTTTAGATTGCAAAAAGCTCGCGTTATTTTGTGTGAAAAGGAATAGAATAATGCGAGCTTTTGACAAGGTGGCCAGTGAGTTTTCATTTTAAAATTCCCGGTGTTTTCCCGGTGCAAATCTCAAAAGTTTCGCGGTTCTTAACACTCAGAATACGGTGGGTAAAAAGCTTCGTTTTCTGAGAACAACGATATTTTTTTATCCCATTTACATCCATCTCGATTTTTAAATCAAAATTTAAAGCAAAATAATCACAAAACTGTTTGACACAAAACTAACAAATTGACAGCTCACTCCCATACAAAGTACCGTCGAGGGGCGCCAAGATGGTGATTTTTTTTATTTAAAATAGTTCCAGTGCTCCAAAATCGATGAAATTTTGGATTTCGGTTCTATTTGTGATGCAGATTACCGAGGGGGGCGACACATCTAAATCTCAATTTTAGATGCTCAATAAATCTCACACTAGCGAATAAATCTTAGATAAATCTTCTTTCATTTCTCGCATCTACTTGCATCGCGCATCATCTTTTTGCAGGAAATCTTCAAAATCGTGATAAATCTTCTTTCTATCTACTCAGCGTACGCGCAGCTAGCCACAGCAGAACACAATATTTCCTGCATCGTAGATAGAGTCGTCCCCCTCGCAGATTACGAATATGCAATTACCTCAATACACCTAAAGAACCCAATTGTGGTACCTCTACAATTCATGGGGTCTGCATATTATTTTAATTTTAGAAAGATTGGAAATAGGGTTGTCTACATTTTTAAAAGCAAAAAGAGTCGTTACACGTTTTTTGAAATGTGTGCTTATGAGTTTTGCAAGTGGCTTAAGATCTATAATTTAGATTAATGTGTACAGGATGTTTTCAACTTGGAAGCTGTCCATATTTCATGTGAGCATGTTTCATCATCCATATAATTTTCTGAAAATGTGTATGAACCGTGGACATTAGCTGACCCCCCCCCCCCCCCTCCTCATAAACTGTCCACGATGTATATGGACAGCCCCTTGTCATAATTGAACGGTAAAACGACTTTTTATAAACAATACTATTCAATATTCCCTAAGTGTAGCAAGTGTAGAAAAAATGCTGTTTTAGAATATTACCAATACCGAAATACCGGTACTGGTATGAGAAAATACCGATATTTTTGGTACTGGTCATTTGAAAAATGATAAAGCAAATTTCAATATTCGATCTTTATTATAATTTTAAAGCATTTTTAGTAGCACTGTAAACGAGTAATAATTTCTAAATATTTTATAAATCGTCGTGAAAAACCAAGTTTGAAATATTTTGATAAACATCATGAACCAACAAGCTTTGAATACTTTGAGCAGGAGAATTGAAAAGAAAGTATTTCACAATGCTTTTTAAACCATTCATTACGGTTTGCACAAGACAACTTAAGGCTTGTACTCGAAAAAAATGCAACATTTTTATCCGTGTGTAACTTTTTTATCCGTGGGTATAACTAGTTTGGAGTGAATTGTTTACATGTGCAAAATTTCATAACAATCGGTTCAGTGGTTATTGAGATGTCATCGAAACAAGAAGAAAATCGCCGGAGAATTTTGCGCGCCGTCATGGAAAATCCGACTGCGACCATGAGATGGATCGGAAGACAACTGGGAATCACCCATACAACTGTGTCTCAGGTGGTAAAATCGTTTAAGGAGTGTAGGCTGGATATGGAAGAAAATCGAACACAGCTGACCCTGTGAAGGCCCGGAAGGTGTTGGATTATTTCAAGCGTAATCCTAACCTTTCGATTCGCGACGCTGCTCTGAAGGCAAAGTGTTCCGCCTGGTTCGTTCAGAAAACCATGAAACGAGCTGGGCGTCGTGTATTCAAGGTCCGGAAGGCACCGAACGGGCGTGATCAACAAAACACGGCGGCCAAATCCCGCGCAAGGAAGCTGTATCGAGAGTGGTTAACGAAACCGATGTGTGTGGTTATGGATGACGAAACCCACATCAAGGCAGCGCAAAGCAGATACCGGGGCTGGAGTTCTACGTTGCCAAATCACGGTTTGATGTTCCGGAAGACATAAGGAAGAAGAAATACTTGCTCTGGCAGGCCATATGCCAATTCGGTAAACTGAGTAAACCGTACATCACAATGGGTACCATCAACAGTGAAATTTACCGCACCGAGTGCCTCCAGAAGCGTCTGTTGCCCTTCCTGCGGTCCCACGGAGGTGAGACATTATTTTGGCTGGACCTGGCATCATGCCATTACGCGCGATCGACGTTGGATTGGTACAGAGACAATAACGTTGTTTTTGTACCAAAAACCGCCAACCCCCCAAATTCACCAGAGATTCGTCCGGTGGAAAGATTTTGTTCGAAAATCGTCCAAGGTGTTTAAGAACGAGCTGGAGTTGAAGAGAAAGGAAATAAAGTAATTATGCCGAAACATAATCCATATGTATTAGTTCATTCCCTGAAAGTTTCAAGAAAATCCGACTTAAAATAAATTTTTGGCGAACACTTTTGTCTGGTGCATTTTTTTTTTTTCGAGTACAGGCTTTAGATATAACTCCAAATATATTTAAATATTTCATAATATCTTCTGAAATATTAAATTATTTTCAAAAATCAATACATGTAAACACAGATCATTTTGAGCTGAAAAATGTTTGTTCTTCCAATATGTTTATTTTTAAGGCTATTCTAAGTAAGGATAAATATCAAAACATGTTATGATATATAGACCAAAGTTGTCCCGGTCCTAGGGTTCACCATACTTCAGAAGAATCATGTGTATGTGTCTGGAAATTTAGAGACAACAATTAGCTCTCGCATGGGAGGTGATACGTTGAATGTACGTACTTCGCATTTTGGAATTGAATAATCATAATAATACTCAAGATAATAGGATATTCGTGAGATTGAATAAATCAATTATTTCATTACTATAGCCGCTTTAGCACTTCTAGGCAGGGTTTAAAACAGTTAACTTTTTTTTACTACACTCGCTTCGTTGTCGTGCGCGACAGTCTGTTTGTATTCGTACACTCATGCTCTACTGTCGTCTCTCTCACACAACACAACCGGTAGAATAACATTCAAGCAAAAAGAAAATTATCAAATAACTATCATATGACATGAGTGACTTCGTTCTAATTCCCCAATTTGGTGTAAATTAAGCCATTTCTGATCAGAAATGTTATTCCTAGGACATCATTGCTTGCTATTTTCAGAATTCACACAAGCATAACATCAGCGGCCCTTATTATGAGAAAAAACTAAAATACATACCTTCGTGACGGTCTTCGGCGACAATGTCGTATGACAGAGCCTGTCATTTGACATTTTAGATTGGTACTGTACTATGATAGCTTGTTTTGCAAGTGTCGGAGGCAAAGGCAGTCGATTCTCACAGAAAATGTGTCGACTACCGTGACCGCTTACAAGACTGCTTCTAGGTTATTCTTGAAAAAAAGATTAGAAGTAGTGACCAAGGAAACATCCCAAACTCGATTTCCATTTATTTTCTTAAGATCCCTTGGTACCGGTATTTTACCGGTACTGAATCACTCGATACCGAAATACCGGTACTTGCAACCCTAATTGAGCCACAGAGAAAAATGTTCAGTCACGGATTTAGAAAAAAAAAATATATATATGAAGCGATGCGTTTAGTAACGCGAAGAACTGCAGTCTAGAATTAAATATACATAGAACTAAGGTAGCCATGAATGTTATAATCAGTGACGTCACGTAACCTCACTTTTTATATGTTCAACAATGTTGAAAACTTTATTATGATCATGTTTACATTCAACTCAGTTTCAAAAGGCACAGGGTTTTCTAGTTTCACTGATGGGTAATATGTTTTCATTTGTTTAAGTTTTGAAAGTTGTTGAACAGGTAGATTGAGGTTAGGGCGACGCCACTGGTTGTAATAAAAATAATCTTCTGCTCTTTGTATTCGCTATAACGGACTGGTCGTCTTTTTACTTTGCTCCATTCCTCCCAAGAATAGAGTCTTCTGTAACACATCTTCTGTAACATAGAAAAAAATCATAATTCTGAGATCTAGATAACTTTTCTAGATCGCAGTTTAAGAAAAGTCTCATTATGGCACGAGGAAAAATTTCCTAGATGAAATTATAACGGACATAAAAATAATTTAATACGTCTAGGATTTAAAATCTCGATCGTTAATAATTAGGTATCCATTTTAGAGATAAAACAAAATCTAAGACCTGTACCTGAAAATACTACAAAATCCAGTAACATTTACTTGCTGAGTTGGTTGGAAATGTTATCTAACATGAAGCTTTAGTGTGATATATTATTAGCTAGAGAATGGTTTTAGAAGAGGGTAGGTGGATAGTTCTACTTGATGGGTATAGAGAACCAACTGTATATGCATTCTGGTTATCCGAAGAGAAAAATATGTAGTACCTACTATAGTCACTATATTTATAGTCTGACGGATAGAATCTC